TTCACACTTCGAAATTTAGATTCGTTTGTATAGTGTGTTTTCTCAATTATATTGTTTTATTTTTTCCTTGGCAAGATAAAAAACGATTTCAAAATTAAATTGATAATACTTTAATAGCTATAAAGAATACATTCACATCACCACCTTAAGAACCTTCTCCTTCTTGGATCGGTTAAATGAGAAGAAAGCGTTTGATGAAAAACAGATTAAAAAGGCCAGTTATTGGAAAACTGTTTTTAATTAATAGATAATATTGATGATAAACGGGTTTCATACCGGGAAGGGAACTTGTTAAGTTGGAGAAATAGGCCGTTCTATGGTACTTGCTAATGCTGACTTTTTCTTGTGATTTCCGAAGCTGAAAGTGACAGAGCCATGTTACGACTCGACTAGACTTCACTCACTTCTTTCAAGATGAGTGGCGACATTCATGTGGCGCGGCGTATCAACGGACACCAATCTGCGCTAAAAAGAAAACTTTGACAACCTCTTTGATTTTTATTAAAAGATTACTCTTTGTTTGGTTTCTGAATTTTACGTATCTATATGAAAACGTTTTTGTTTGATTGAGTAACATAATAAATGCGTTTATTTATACATGTATAGTTAGTTATCTTAACTGGCGTTGGCATTTAACTAAGGAAGGATTTTTGAAAATCTCAGGTTCAATGAGATAAGATATGGATGAACGATTTTATGGGATTCGCTTATTTTTAGTATATGAAATTCCACATACCTACCTGTTACTGGTCAGAAATAAATGTAGACGTACATTGGCGTAAAATTGTACCTCTAACAGGCTGATTTGGGGATTGAAAATTTATGTTAGAAGTTTGTCGCTTTTATTGGAAGAAGCATAAAATTCAGTTTAAGACTTTTACAATGTGCTGATTTACTCATGCGAAATCGGGACAGACGGTAAATTTGTATATTATTACTAGCTAACCCGGCAGACTTCGTAGTGCCTCAATCGATAAATAAAAGACCTAAACTTTTGTATAAAATAAACTTAAAACAAACAAAAGGAATCCGCCCGACGGGGGACACATCAAAGGAAAACACAAACATTTTCATATTTATCTACCTTTTAAACCTTCTCTAGACTTCCAAAAACAATTCGATACCAAAATTAGCCAAATCGGTTCAGCCGTTCTCGAGTTTTAGCGAGACTAACGAACAGCAATTCATTTTTATATATATTGATTATATTAAACGCTAGCCAAATTTTAATAATTTTTTAATGTTTCAAAACACGAATAAAATTCGCTGTTCTTCACCTTTTTTCTCGCGTTCTTACTCGTGGGAGTAACAGTAGGTTGAAAGTTCTGGGGACGTAGCCACGCGACGTATGACCGTCTCTGTCTGTTGCGAAGTGTTTGGGCTGCTGAAAACGGATAGAGCATATTTTTAGTTCAGGAATGAAAGTTTCATCCAAATTTTATTCAAGCTATTTTTTTCGCATAACAATACTAATTGGTACCGAATTAAATATAAAAAGGGTTGAATAGGCAAAGGAAACTTTAGGTTTTTATTATATATTTTTTATCAGCGTAGGCAAATGCATATATCCATAGTGCTTAACGTCATTCGTGGATATCACCTATAGAATATCTACCACGCACTTTACTTACGAACATTACATTCTTCAAATAACTTATCTTATTGTGGGTGTGACAAAACGCTTTCCCCCTGGAAAAATATATTGCTGGACTGCTTTTTATCCTTCTTTAACATAAAAAATTGCAGAAAGTTCTGGATTAGGTTAGTCGCCGTTTGCTGCATCAGAACTCTTTAAGTTTTAAACAGGTTTCGAACAATTTAATTTATAATAAAAAATTGTTATGTCCGTGTGTGTATATTATTAACGAACTCCTACTAAACGGCTGGACCGATTTTAATTACTTTTTTTGTGCGTGTTCCAGTGGGTTCGAGAATTGTTTAGATACACAATCGAATATTGTAATAACTTTATTTATTTTTAATTAATCAAAATAATCTAGTTCAGATTATTACAACTTATTGAAAAATCTTTGAATTTAATACGTGTGTGTTTAAGATAACGTCTGCCGGTTCCGCTATTTTTCTCATATATAAAGATATCTTACGTATCTATCAAATCAGACTATCATTAAAATCGCTGTCATAATTACGTTTTTGATCAGAGTTACTAAAAAAAACTGAACATCCAAGTAAACAAAGTTGCGTATTTAACTTTTTTCAATTTGAATCTTTTAATCACATTAATCGTAGTTAATGAATATGTTAAGTCCGTACTTAGCAATTAGCAAAACTAGCGGACCCGGCAGATAATGTCCTGTATACGCGTCTCAGATGCGAAAATTTCAAGCTTTTATCCTATATTGTTTTTGTAGTGTACCGAATTGTGGATCTAAATAATTCTCATATTCATACGAACACAGAAATTTAATCAAAATCAGTCCAGCCGCTTAGTAAGTTCACTATGATACGCACAGACAGAAGAATTAAATTTATGTATTATATCTAAAAAGATAGATTAGTGTTTGCGTCCAGAATTTGACAATCGACACTCAAAATTTGAAAGGATGGAATATTTTGTTGACGTACCGACTTAATTTTCAAACCTTTTTAAATGACTTTACGTGTCCCGAAAAACAATTCTATAGTTTTAAAAGACCACGTGCATACTTTTTCCTTCTTGAGGTACTCTAGATATTAGCTTTGTATATGGTCGGTAATGCAGGAAGTGATTTCAGATTACGTCTTGCTATTAGACTCTTTGTATCTTGAATTGACTGTTTGTATTCATTTGTTTCTTCGTGCTCAATTCAATTCAATTCAAATGATTTATTTGCCCGAGACATGGTATTATAAAATTTTAATATTCCAGCATGTTGTTACTTGAATAAAAAGTTTGCAAATATAAAATAAATTGAAGATTACTAACATGTCAATTTATAATAAATAAATAAAAATAAAAAAAGCCTGTATTTCCTTATCCTTAACTTTCATTTCAAATGTGGTATTTATTTGTTAGTGTTTAGTTATTTATTAATGCTTATTGTCTAAATGTTAGTAAGAGTTAATTTTTGTTATTGTATATGGACCCCTCCTCGGGTGAAGGCCTCTCCTAGTCCTTTCCACTGATCTCTGTCCTTGCCGATAGTTTGCCAGTCCTTTCCTATTATTTCGGTTATGTCGTCAGCCCATAGTCGTTTCCAATTTATAATAAAACATTCATAAATTAAAATAATGAATTTAGTTACATTCATAATCCATTAAATTGCTCTTTAAATTTATGCTCTTTACATTATTGATCCTATTAAGTTGAAACAGTTTTTGCCAATTCAGAGAGGATTTTTGGCATAGTACCATCGACTTAAATATATTTGTTGTGTGCTAATTATTTTATCAAATTAATGAATTTCATTTACTGAACGTTAGAGACCGCTTTGACTTTGGCACATGCCTGCGGTATTTGAAACCAAGCTTCGTTCTATACTAAATATGATACTAGGCACCACACTGTTTAGGCCACGAACGTTTTATGAAACATTAATTAATTAAACTGCACGGAGAAATCGGGAAGTTGATATTAGAAACATTTGATTACTTCTAAAATTCATGAAGAAATCGTGAAGCTGATATTATTCTTACAATATAGCTAATAACTAACAGCAGGGTGTAGTTAAAGCTCTTCCTAGTTTCTATTATGGACGTGTAGAATGTGTTCTTGAATGTCAAAGAAGGACATGTTATAACATTATCTTTTCGCAGGTGGTAGAAGTCGTTTTTTTTATTGCTTAGATGCTTGGACGAGCTCTCAGCCCACCTGGTGTTAAGTGGTTACTGGAGCTCATAGACATCTAGGACGTAAATGCGCCACCCACCTTGAGATATAAGTTTTAAGGTCTCAAGTATGGTTACAACGGCTGCCCCACCTTTCAAACCGAAACGCATTACTGCTTCACGGCAGAAATAGGCAGGGGGGGTGGTACCTAACCCCACGGACTGGCAAGAAGTCCTACCACCAGTATAAAAACTATGTCTATAAAAACTCAATGTAGATAAACGCATGGTCAAGAGGAATACTATTTGCTCTGGATTGTGGGGTGGGAAAAACAGGTGAACAATTAATTTTTAGTTTCTCAGGACTCCACTCATGGATTCGGTCCGATACGCAACTATCTACATAATACGCACATGTTTGATGATCAAAATCCAGTGTTTGTAATTAAATTTAGGTAAGTTTAGGTATACTCTTTTTATTTTTGTTTGCCTGTGTTATTTAAACATATCATCCAACAGACTGCACTGAAATTTACAAATGTGTAATATTAACACTAATTCATTATTCAGTCTGAAATAAATAGTCTGATGAAAAAATTATAATAGAATGTCCGATTTATTTAAAATTCTGCAATGAAAAATGTATCATAATTTAGTGAAACGTCGACTGCTAGACGTCGGAGACTGTCTACGGAGCCTTTGCTCGCATACTAGCATATAATATTTACACGCCTCAATTTCCCAGACGCATTAACATTAATTTGTTTCAACACTTCGAAAAAAAAAAAAAAAGTCGATTCCCAGAACTGACACAGCGTAGGTAGCTAAACTATAGCAACAAACCGTCCGAATTAAACATGCAACCTACATAGAATGCTTTAGTAACAATAACATTTCGTATCTGGTAATTCTCAAACCGGCCAGTGAGCGACTTGCATGTACTTAAGCGTTATTAAATCAAACGGTATTTTTTTTTTCCGACGTACCTACAGAACTCAGGTGGCAAACAGCGCAGTATATAATTCCACCGAAAATAAATAGAGATGGGAATAAAAGCGACTGCGATTGGGCGGTGGGCGGTCCGGGGCGTACGTCTGAAGCGGCGACGGGCGCTGACGACAGAAACGCTCGCTTAGCGCCAAAGGCTGCGCGCGCGCACTTGATTTAGCGCTCAGAAAACTGATTTATCGTGTCGCGTTGAAAAAATAATCGGTCACCGGTGAGGAAATGTGATGGAGGGACAAGAGTGGCGGGGCGAGTGGCAGCAGCCGAGGCAAAACGACGGTCAGTTTATCATTACATTACTAGATTATTATCGAAGAAAATGCGATTGTCTGACACCGATCGCTATTATATCTATCGGCGTCATTTCTTAATCAGCTGAAAGAAACGTGTTAATGTAAATGAATAGATTATCTAAATTTGTTGTTTATGGTGAAGTCGTTGTTGATTTTTGCTCGGCGATGAGATACTTAAGTGTAAGTTGTTGTTTTTTTTTAAATATTAAATTTTACCCTGTGCATTGCATTAGTTAAAATTAAATTTTATTTTTCTCCGTGCGCGAGACTATACATAAATATTTATGGTAAATATGAAATTTAGAGAATTTAATATAATTATTGCTTAATGTTTTAAATTTATATTTTTATTCTAAATTATTAAACTCAATTTCGTTTTACAAGAAAACTGATTGTAGAAACATAAGGTTTCGAATTGTTTTAAGCTTTTTCGGGCTATCTACATTATAAACACTGTTATCGAGTTTTATTAATACATTTAAAAAGTCTACCCGTGATCATTTTGCTGGTACCAAAATATCGGGAACTCATTAAATGTGAAAATCTCGGTAAAGATCCGTTGAACAGTAGTCATGTAGTATGAAAGAGCTCTTTTAAGCCTTCGTTAACAAAAAAAATTTTAAATTTTAAATCATAAAATACTAGGTCGTCTAAGCTACAATGATTTTTGTGAATACATTACCAATAGATTATTATTTCACTGACAGATTACACTTACACGAAACTAAATGCGATGCTATGCTTTCATTAAATTAAGTGGAAATCTCTCGTTAGTTAAAAAAAATAATGATGCGCAGCAAAAGTTTCTGTTGTTCTGTAGTGATTCTAAGAACGTTCGGATTCAAAGTGAATTTTTGGAAGATAAAATATTATTAGCAAGAGATTAAACCCTTTTTTTCCACCTTTTCTTACGACTATAATTTGAATTTGAATTTGAATTTTCTAATTCCAATTGTCTTGAATGTATAGCTGTTAAAGATACAAATTGATCATTCATATGTGGCGGGTAGCCATCATAGAACACACACGTCATTACGGATTCTCCCTGTCCATTAACGGTTCTTTTAGGTACCTCAAGCACCGGTCACCGCCCTCGCCGAACTCGTCGCTTGCGACGAAGGGCTCTACGAGTAAATTAACCCATAGACAGCCCACTGAGTTTCTCGCCGGATCTTCTCAGTGGGTCGCGTTTCCGATCCGGTGATAGATTCTGCGAAGCACTGCTTTTGCTAGGGCCAGTGTTAGCAACACTCCCGATTTGAGCCCCGTTACGTTAGGGTTAAGATGAAATAGCTTCCCAAGACTATCAGCATAGGTAGGAAGAAAAAAAATTAGAACACACAAGATATTTGACAGATGCCTGAATCTCGCTTACGACATTTTCAAGATAAGCTTGCATATATACAAGTTCCGAACAACAACATTTGGACCGTCGGTCTACCGAGCAATATCATCCGCTCAGTGGAAGATCTTCCCTTTGTCGTATACCTCATGTACAGACTTACATAGTTACATTCTTGTATGCTCTTCTTACACATGTATTATCTACTTTTTTTTTTATTGCTTAGATGGGTGGACGAGCTCACAGCCCACTAGGTGTTAAGTGGTTACTGGAGCCCGTGGACATCTACAACGTAAATGCGCCACCCACCTTGAGATATAAGTTCTAAGATCTCAGTATAGTTACAACGGCTGCCCCACCCTTCAAACCGAAACGCATTACTGCTTCACGGCAGAAATAGGCAGGGCGGTGGTACCTACCCGCGCGGACTCACAAGAGATCCTACCACCAATCAAAAACTTACATTCTTGTTTATGTTCCTCAACCACGAACCATTAAATACAATTTAAAAGCAACATTTAACAAAAATAATTGAAGCATTGTAATATGTTTTTATGGTTTTTTTAGTATTTATTGTTCACGAAATCGATTTAATTCAGATTAAAGAAGCAACATTATAATTAATCGTTACATTTATCGAAAGAATACAATCAACTTACGTAGTTAATTTCTAGCCGTACTTGTTATATATAATCTGTAACAAAAATATCCATTCGAAATGGGAAGTATGCGACTATTTTTTACAATGAACTTTTTTTTAAATGTCAAATATGCAAAATTCTGCTTCGTTTCTCAAGGTGGGTGGGCTCCGGGAACGGCTTAAAAATGCCAAATGGCAATTTATTTTTTATTTTTACAGCATTTTAAAAGCCTTAGAAGAAAACGTTGTCAAGTAAGCTAGATGATTTGCGAATTTTGAAATCTTGAAGCTGTGTGTGTGTGATGTAGTATAATTTTCTAAATTGGGCGATTGGAAAAAAGTGTATGTAGTTACAACAAAACGAAATACTAAAATTGGTTTTCTAATAAATAAAAGATGAGATTAAAATAAATTGTCAATGATTATCATAATTATTTTATAGAAATATTGTTAAGTGTGGTAATTTGACTGGTTAGTAAGTGAGCACGGTAGGTACCTATCTTGCCTATTTCCGGTTTGAAACGTACCATGGCCGTTATACTATTCTTTTTCTTTTTTAAGTATGGCAATTAGCTTCTTGTAATGCCATTATTGCCAGTGTCCAGTTTATAAATATTCAATTATAAAATACATACATAGGTACTCTGTAATTTCAAAAATGATGTAGATTGAAATGAGATGAGGACGATTTATTTGAGACTGTAATTAACTGGGATGAAATTAAATGAAAAGAGATGAGGTGAAATAAAGATTCAGTTAGTGTTAATGAGACTTCAGTGGGCTTTTTAGAGAATCCCAAGAAGCTACGTCCAGCAACTTCGTTTCTTTTTTCTTCTTATACTCTCGCTACTTCGATAAAGCGGCGCGACACGATAATACTCATATTGTGGCCTTGGCTAACTACTTCTCTGAGACAGGCGACGGGTCAACGCAAAGTCGCCGTCGCCCGAAACATGTTTTGTCGGATCCCCCGAATCCACTTTCGGTGTTTTAAGCACCTCTTACCGTCCTCGTCGATCTTGGTTATGACGAAGAGTTAGACTAGACCCAGACCACTAAATTTCTCGCGGAATCTTCTCAGTGGCTCGCGATTCGGATCCGGTGGTAGATTCTGCGAAACACTGCTCTTGCTAGAGCTAGTATTAGTAAATTCTTTCGGGTTGAGCCCGTGATCTCACCTACCCGTCCGGGCGTAGCTGGAATAGCCCCTTAGGCTACCAGGAAATAGGTAGGGGAAAAAAACATGTTAATTTGCTTCAACGCGAACAGCTCCTACACATACCCGATCCTGTAGACCGAATGGTAAACAGTCGACGTCGCCCAAAAACACGTCATTACGGATCCTCCCGACCCATTAACGGTGCTTTTAGGCAGCACAAGCACCGGTCATCGTCCTTATCGAACCCGTCGCTTGCGACGAAGGGCTCGATGAGCGAATTAACCCACAGGCACAGCCCACTGAGTTTCTCGCCGGATCTTCTCAGTGGGTCGCGTTTCCGATCCGGTGGTAGATTTTGCGAAGCACTGCTCTTGCTAGGGTCAGTGTTAGCATCACTCCGGTTTGAGCCCCGTGAGCTCACCTACTAGTTAAGGTTACGTTGAAATAGCCTCTCAAGGCTATCAGCTTAGGTAGGGTAAAAGCTNGAATTAACCCACAGGCACAGCCCACTGAGTTTCTCGCCGGATCTTCTCAGTGGGTCGCGTTTCCGATCCGGTGGTAGATTTTGCGAAGCACTGCTCTTGCTAGGGTCAGTGTTAGCATCACTCCGGTTTGAGCCCCGTGAGCTCACCTACTAGTTAAGGTTACGTTGAAATAGCCTCTCAAGGCTATCAGCTTAGGTAGAGTAAAAGCTCCTACATTTCAAGCATACGCTATTGCGATTTTGTCAAAGCTATAATCGATGTTGGTTATCGCTACAATATAGATACACAGACGGGTGTCGGTATGCGTCCAACAGAACGCCGGCGATAGTCTCGGCGTGTTTCGTTGAATGGTGTTCATTCGTCCATCCATCGTCGGATGTGGATGCGAACACGAACCGCGTGCTGATTGACAAGTAATGTAGATTCAACGTTCGAATGTATGCAAAAATACGAAACAGAAAAACGTTTTGTTACTTTGTAACCAAACTAATAAGGCACGTGGTTTTTTTTTTTTTCATGATAATAAAAAATTTAATGATTTTTTTAAAAGTTTTTCTTATTCTTTTCTTTAATGCTTAGATGGATGGACGAGCTCACATCCCACCTGGTGTTAAGTCTGGAGTCCATAGACATCTACAATATAAATGCGTCACCCATCTTGAGATATAACTTCTAAGGTCTCAAGTATAGTTACAACGGCTGCCCCACCCTTCAAACTGAAACGCATTACTGCTACACGGCAGAAATAGGCAGGGTGATGGTACCTACCCGCACGGACTCACAAGAGACCTACCCGCACGGACTCACAAGAGGTCCTACCACCAGTAAAAATTCTCTCTGGTAGTGAGCCGAAATAAAAAAAAAAAATGGACGTACAAAGTTTATTTTAACAAAAGTAGCGTCAAAATATTTATTGAACCGTTTTGACAATTTATATCTGTATAGGCAGAAGGATTATTTCCGCAAAAACAACGTTAACAGCCAACGTATTCATAGTTTAGTTTTCGTAACACATGTTTTAATAGCTTGGCGATCGTCAAGAGCCGTAGGACGCGAACACGTCAATGTAGATTGATGATCCAAGCCGGGGTGGGCGACATTTTTTGTGGTAATTAGCCGACATACAGAAAAAGTATTAATGCTGTTATGTGCCACTCGAAGTTCCCTGTGTTGTTGTTTCAAGCTTCAACTAATTACTGTGTGAGGTCTTGTTTCGTTACGGCGGCGGCCTTGGAGCGAAATAATTAATAATTAAAATAATTTTGTAGGCAGCGGCTTGGCTCTGCCCCTGGCATTGCTGAAGTCCATGGGCGACGGTAACCACTCACTATCAGGTGGGCCGTGTCTGCCTACAAGTTAA